TCTCTCTCTCTCTCTCTCTCTCTCTCTCTCTCTCTCTCTCTCTCTCTCTCTCTCTCTCTCCGCTCTGTCTCTGTCCGTTGCGCTCTCACTCGCTCCCTCAGCCCCCACCAGCTCGCGGTTCCCCCACCACTTCTTCCTGCCCCCACCTCACCTCGCCCCCACCGCGTCACTCGCGACGCGGCTGGGCTGGGCTGCCCCAGCGCGTCGGAGATTTCTCATCTTCCTCACCTTGTGCTTGTGTGAGGGCGGAAGCCTTTTCTGCCGCAAGAGAATTCAACCAATACGCAACAATTTCGTATATACTACATAGCCTTACGCGACAAGCCATACGGAGTCTTGGAGTATTATTCGCCCCTCGACGGGCGGGGTGTGTCGTTTACCACGGACCACGGCATCATCCTCTGCCGACCAGACGACGTACGAGTCAGATCACTACTACTTGGTGCAAAGTCCATTGAGAAACTCAAAGTCATCACAAGCTTCCTCTGTTTTAAATGTTGTTAAATTATTAACCACACTTCACTCTCTTGACCGTCACGTGCGGACCGTGAAAAAGATACCCACACCCCTTTACATTATTTGGCAGTGGTCAGGCACGGTCGCAGTCGTGAATGCCCCGCCCAGCCCCGCCCGCCCCAGCAGCCGCCAGTAGTGGCGCTGCGCGGCTGCCGGCTGCCCGCTCCGCTGTGCTCGGCCGTGCTCCACCGCCGCTCCGCGCGCTCCGCCTCTAGCGCCTGGAAGTGGCCGGGTAGGCACCCCGCGGTCCTGCGTGGCGGGCGGGTCGGCCTACCGCCGCCCCGGACGGGGTTGAGGCAGGCCGCAGCCGGAGCCGAAGCCGGCTCCGGAGCCGACCGTTTTATCCTTTCATCATTCCGTCCTCTTTTTCTTCCCGTCCGCCGTTGTTGATTCGCTCCCCGCTGGGGCGCGCTGGCGCCGCCGCGGTTGGGGGGCGGCCGACCCCTTCCTGTTGTGTGGTGCCGTTGCTCCCTCCGAGTGGCTCCCTCCCGCGCGCTCCCTCCTCCCCGCGCTCCCAGAGGGATACACGCCTCCGAGAGTGCTGCGGGGGTTGGCTCCCGGCGGAGGGGTAGGGAGGGGGGGGGGCACGGAGCTTCCTCCG